TCTGCCAGTTGCTGAGTGCCCACCCGGTGCAGCCAGAGTGAGGTAAAGGGGCCTTGGCGTAACAGAGAATCTGGCTGTGAGGTTCCTTCCAGATCTTCCTTCTGGATCCAAAGGCATGCAGAGTTTGGGAGGGTTTGGCTCTGCTGTTCCAGGGCAGGACAAGCTTTGCCCCCTGTGCTTTAGCTACCCAAATGCCTGCTGGTCAATAGGCAAAAGGCCAGCGTGGAGGGTAGCCACAGGAGCTGGGGGATAAGGTCCTCGTGCTCCGAACAACGGCTCCCTCGAGGAAAGACAGGGCTGTTATTTTCCGACTCAGGAGAGGGACCGCGAGGCAGCAGGTAACAGGGACTGACACGCTGAGAAACACGCTTCAGGGGGCAGCCGCGATGCTAATGCGTCTCAGAGCGGGGCTCAGAGCCCAGCGTCACGTCCCTCTCGGACGCATTCATAGCTCGCCCCAGAGAACAGCCCTGGGCCTGGGGTCGCTCCCTCAGCGCAATCAACCGAGTCCTGGCCCCCAGGGCTGGAGCAGTGCAGGGGCAATCAGGCCCTTTTAGTGTCCTACGCGAATCTGACTACGGATGGGTCCGGGGAATCCATCCACAGCACTGAAATTCGGCCACCTCTGGGGGTGGGGGGGAGAGGGACGCAGCAGCCACTTGCATGCCGCAAACCAGTTTAGGAGAGGAAGGGGTGGCGGATGCTGTGACTCCTTTCATTGAGGGACGTAGAATTGGGTCAGGGCCTCAGACTCCAGGACTGCCTCGCTAGACATGCCACGGGGTGCGGCCTGGCACGGGAACACTCTGAGCACTGACCACATCTCACCCCACCGGAGATCCTCTGGGGGGGTCAGCGCAGCCCTTGGCAGTCAGTGCTCTCAGGTGAACACCAGCCCCCTCCCCTGTGTCGCTCAAAGCCCCCCAGGCTGAGCTGCGCGAGTGCACCCCCTGCTGGCTCCCCCACACCTCTCCCTGCAGCACACCCCAAGCTGGGGTCACTCCTGATTCTAGCAGAGCTCCCCTGGCTGAATCCCCCAGGCTCCATGCTGACTCACAGGGAGGGTGTCACTTTACTGAGTGACCCCCACTGCTTTCAGCAGCACTCAGAGGGTCTCCCACCCACACCCTGACCCAGCCCAGCTTAGGAGATCTGACACCCGCACTGGCCAAGGGAGGAGGGCTGCGAGTCACGCAGGCTCTCCTCTCTCTCCTCCTGGAGAGCCCGCCAGCACTGGGCCTCAAGAACATCTCCCTTGGCTGCCTCTTTCCATCAGATGCACCCCAGGAGCTTCGGCTCTTGGAGAAATAAACCAAGCGGCTGGGCAGGGGTTCACCAGGCTCACAAAGGCGCCAAAGCCCCCGCGGTGGGAGCTCCTGCCAGCTCCCGTCTGCAATGGCCACGGGCAATTGGCTAACGTCGCCCCCCTGCGCTCAGTGGAGGCCTGTTCCCCTGCGCCCCAGGACGGGGAGGGTGGGAGGTTACAGGGTGGGAGGTTGTCTTTCTGTGCATGCCCTTGGCTTCCAGGGCCCCACCCCTACCCCTTTCTGTTGCCTGGGATCCCCATGCAGGTTAGCCCCCAGGGGCCTGATTCTCCTGCCTGTAGCTTGGCATGGATCCCAAGCCCATGACATCAGTCCTGGCGGAAGAAAGGGGAAATTCCCTGGGCTGGGTTTGCCTCTGAGGACTGTCATGGTTGAGTCACCGCTGGGTGCGGTGTCGCTTGGCTCATGGGCCCCCCGCTCCCCCATCTGTTTGGCTTCCATTTAGAAAACGCCTGCTTGAGCACCAGCTGGGTGCCAGGACTCAACGCTTCGCGAGCACTGGACCCTGCGGGTCTGGCCCAGCCTCAGCCCTGCTGCAAGGGAGCTGCTGAGTGTGTACAGCGCCAAGCCCCGGGGAATCCTAGGCATGACTGCGATACAAGTCAATCATTGCTACTGTGTCTAGAAGACTGGATATTCGGGGAGTGGGGAATCAGGACTCCTGGGTTCTATTCCTGGCTCTGGGAAGAGGGAAGTCAGGATGCCTGGGTCCTCTTCCCAACACAGCCACTGTGTGACCTTTGGTGAGTCAATTCCCCCTCTGCGCCTCAGTTTCCCCATGGGGGATAATGACCCTGACCACTCTTTGAGATCATCAGGTAAAATCCAGAGCAGCAAACGTTATAACTGCCGCTGCTAATAAATCCATTCCCCTCTGCCTGGCCTCAAATCGCTCATTGGTGGGCCCTCAATTAGTTCCCTTTGTCCATGGGTCTGAATCCATGGCCCAAAAAACTTCAGTGACTTGCAATTCTTAGCAAACTGCCCTCCGCAAAGCAGGCAGGGTCTGGGCCAGCAGTGCAGAGCACCTCTCCTCCTGGCTCGCAGTTAATTACCAGAGACTAGAGGTCACTCTGGCAGGAGCGCAGGAATGGAGCGAAGAGGCTTCCCAGTAATTGCTTACCAAGAAATGTTAATAATCCAGAGCCCTGCTGCGGATCTGAAGTGCTGGGGTGGACCCCTCCAGCCCGCCCCATTATTAATCAGGGAAGGAAGGCCCTGGCCAGGTATTTTTCATAAACTTTCAAGTTATTTTTCTGCTCCCTGGTGTTCCTTCGCAGCAAGTGGAAAGTGAATTCCGTTCCCCTTTCCCCTGATCAGCCGGTTTGCTACAGCAGGGCTGCGTGAGTGGGGGGAACACATGCTGGGTGGTTATCAGAGGGCTCCCCGGGAACGGAAGGAGGCTAGGGCATGAGGTGAGTGTTTAAGAGACCTGCGTGCAAGCCTCCACTCTGCTACGAATCCGCAGTGGGCACCTGGGCGCATCTACACTACCAGGGCAAACCTGGGGGTTGAGTCTCAGAGCTCTGATCAACGGAGTGGGGCTCAGGCTGTGGGGCTCACAGTAACTGTGTAGACGTTCGGGCTGGGACCCGGAGTCTCAAAACCCAGCAAGGGGGGGCGCGGGGCTTGGAGCCCAGGTGCGTCTACACGGCTAGTTTTAGCCCCACGAGCCCGAGTCAGTTGCCCGGGGCTCTGAGACTCAGCACCAGGGGTGGTCCTTGCAGTGTAGACGCGCTATCAGTCTCTGTGTAGCCCCCCCCACATCTGTTTCAGGTACTTCTTCGCCCCAGGCACTGTTGTGTGACCAATGCCCGTGACAAACGCCTTGCTGGTCTAGCGGTCCCAGCAGAACCCCCTAGTGCAGACAGCGTCTGTGACAGGAGGAGCTTTTCTGTCCCCTCCCCTCACGACACAGCTGCGGCCACGCCAGGGGCAGTGGGGGGGGGGGTTCTGGCAGAGCTACCTCACTGTGGGGTGGGTTTTTCACACCCCCGCCAACACAGCTAGGCTGTCAGAGCATTGGCACTCAGGGATTTGCCATGTCAACAGACTCTGAGCCCTCTCCCTCCCTAAGACAGAGACTCACTGGCCCAGGGGTTCCGAGATGAGAAACAAGCTCTGGTTTAGCGGAAGGGGGTGGGGATTTGCATTTGCAACCAGTTAAGTTCTGCTCAACTCACCGATTTTGTCCCGGCTTAGCTCTGCCGGTTAGGGCTGTGATTTTTCACCTGTAGACTTACACCCGTACAGCCCCTAGCGCGGACGCAGTTTCACTAGGATAAAGATGCCTTCGAGCAGTATCGCTTATTCCCAAACCCCTATCTCGGGGCTCCTCTCCACTCAACGGACCCATGCCGTGAAAAAGCCACACCCCTGCGTGACATAATTAAGCCGACCTAGCCCCTGGTGCAGACGGAGACATGGAGTAACTACGGCCCGGGCGGAACCCCTCCCGTCAGGACGGTCAGCACTGACGTTCTGCTGCCGTGTCGCTGGTGTGTTTGCAGTGTAGACGCCTTCGCGCTAGACTTACGCCTCTTGAACACGACCGGAAGAACTCAAGCGAAGCCGCTTTCTAGAACAGGCAAATCGCTTAGGCCCAGGTCCGAGCTAGACCCAAATGAGAGTCCACATCGGGGGGCCCATCGGTGCAAAGAACCTCATTTAAAGACACTTCCCCCGGAGCTCCGGTACAGCCGTCGGGGCGCAGAGCAGGAGGATGTGAGCCCGGCCACGGCTGTGGTGCAGTTCCAAGAGACGACACAGGGCTGCAGGTTCGTTATGCGATTAATCAATTGCAATTTACGATACAATAACATGCCCCTTAAATGTATTTGGGCTCCACACGGCAATGATTGCTGCTGGATGAGTTATCGACCAGTGGGAATAACAAAATGTCTTATATCTATAGAGCAACTTGCAGCCCAAAGGGCTTTATAAACTTTACATGGTTTGGAATGGTCCCCCTCTCCCCTGCATGGGAATCCCTTCTGGGCTTCCCCTGCCACTGAAATGCGGCTTCCTCTGGGGTGTGGTGGAGCAACTGCTTAACAGCCACACAACCCAGTGGGCAGGGGTCCCATCACACTAACGCGCAGCTGTTTCTGTGGTGGAGCAGGGAGCTGCCCCAGAGTTTAGGGCAGGAAGTGAGGAAGAATCCAGTACTGAAGTAGACTTTAGGGGCGGGAGAGGAGAGAACCCCTGGTGGAGCCTGCTCGAAGCACTGTGGCTCACTTCCTCACCGTGACCGAAAGAGTGGTGGGGATCTTCAGGAACCAACAGCCGGCGGGTTTGTACATCCCCTGGCCCCTCCGGCAGCACAGACACCTCTAGGCCACCCCGCGGGAGGCAGCACAGAGGCAGAGGGGAGAACGCCCCCTCCTGAGCCACCAGCCCAGCTCCCTCCTAGATGGACCATCGGTCTGACCCAGTGGGGCCGTTCTTATGTTCACGGGCGCTCCTGGCTCTGTGCACACGTGCGCCCACCCTGGGGCGGCGCGCGGCTCATTCCACAGGGGAGACCACCTCGGCCCGAAGTGGCAGGACCCGCACGGCAGCCGGCTAACGAGCGGGTTCGTTAGCGGGTCCATGTCAGCAGCTGCGCGCCCGACGCTGCCTCTAAATGGCTTCTGGAGGGCGCTCGCCAGCGTCGGGCTCTGTAGAAATATCATTACGTTGGTTATTATTACTATCGGCACAGATGGGCTTTCCCGGAACGCCGTGCGCCGCAGGAGTCCCTCTTTCACCGGCGGTACTCGGTGAGTGGGAGAAAATGAACCGCTGACGCCAGCCCGGATTCAGCTCCGGAAAGGAGATGGGGCGGGGGTGGGGGGAGGATTTGGTGGTTGCTTATTTTCCTCTTTCTTGCCAACACCTTCCCCTCTGATCCACAACTTGCTGGGCTGGACAAGTCAGATACCACGGTGATGGGCAGCGGGGTGAGCTGCAGGGAGGCTGTCGTGCTTAAGACACTGCCTTGGGGACATAAAGGCTTGTGCTTTGAGGCATAACCACTGAAGGAGGGAGGTGGTGGATTCTCCGTCCCTTGACGGCTTCAGATCCTGGCTGCCTTTCTGCAGGCTAACCACAGCGACTGGGCGCAAGGCAGGAGTAACTGGGTGACACAGGTGTACCCGAGGTCAGGCTGAATGATACAATAGTCTCTTCTGGCCTGAAAAACAGCTGTGAATCCCATGGCTGTGTCTCTTTGTACAGCACCTACCACCAGAGGGTCCTGCTCCATGGCTGGGGCATGTAGGCCCTAGTGAAAAATAATAATGATTAGGAACGCAGCCCAAAGGGCAGGTTTGTTCCCTGACTGTCCCGTGCAGCAGCAGCTGGTGCCGGCCTGGAGGCAGGATACCCGGTTAGATGGGTCCCTGGTCTGTTGCAGTCAGGGAATTCCCCATGCCCCTCTGTTATTGTAGGGTTGAAGCGCTGTCCCGTGTGCCTTGGTTTGTTATTGTGGGGCTGCTGATGGGCATGGGCATTTTGCGGGTCTGGTTGCAGTAGCTTTGGGCTGTTGTCATTTGTGGGTGTTGGGCTGTCCCGCTGCTATGTTATCGTAGGAGCTCTCAGGGGCGAAGTGGCCCTGCGACTGGATGGCTTCTCGGAAGCATCCTGGATGCTCATGCTGCGTGGTTACTGCAGGGTCCCTCACCAGCGCCGGCCATCACAGCTGCCTGGGTTGTTCGTTTCACCGTGCCCCAGGCGGGCCGGAACTGCGATCTCCATCACTATTTCCCTTCCTCCCCCCATCAGGGCCTGCTCCCCTCGCTCCTGTCTGGCCAGGCCAAGAACCGCCAGTGAATTCCTCTCCAGCACCTCCTCCCCGACCTCCTGCTCCCGTCCTTTGTGCTTGAAAAACACCTTCGTATTCATCTCTGCTCCCTCCGTAATCTCTGAGGGGATCCAGAGACAGCGGCTGGACTGACACCCCAGCAAGACCAAGAGATTTCCACAGATTCCCCAGATTGGGTGCAGCAAGTGTGTGGCTTCCCACCCACACACTGCCCTACAAGGGGGCATCCGGGAGGACCCCTCTCCACAGCAGGAAGGAGACACAGTGTGGCCCAATGGGCAGGGCACCAGCCTAGCAATCAGGAGACCTGGCATCTAGTCCCAACTCTGCTGCATGCCCGTAGGCAAATCACTTCCCTTGTCTTTCTAGATTGTAGGTTTGTGCAGCGCCTAGCACACTGGGGTGCTGATCTCATTTGGGGCCTGGCCGCGCCTCGCAGATCAAGCGCCACCCGGCATGATCTCTAGATAGATCCTCAAGATGGTCTGGCTGCATGTTCAATCTCCATCCCTCAGTGGCGATCTGACTGCCGCACCAAAGCTCCTGGCGCCTGCGTGAGCACCAGCTGCGTTTGAGTGGGTTACACGGGTGTGTCTGTCCCGGCCAGCCCCTTGTGGGCAGAATCAGCCTGGCTGTGGCCAGCCCCACATTGCTAATGGAGACTCACCACTGCACAGCACCGCCTCGGAAATTCCCAGCACCAGCGGGGCTGGACCTCAGAGCCAAACACCCAGGTCCCTCTCCCCTGTATTAAGGGAGCAGCCCCCTCTCTCCCAACAGCAATGGTAGGGCTGTTACCTGCAGGTAGCCACTCGAGGGTCTCTCCCACACGCTGCCCTTGTACTGTTATGTTACACAACCAGGACTGATCCACCCCCCGAGGAGAGACAACGTGATTGCTTTTAATAAAACAGACTTGATTTTCAGCTCTTTTTATTGCTATCGTTAGTCTTCTCTGCAGCGTATCCCAGTGCTTCCGTGACAGAGGCCCCCGCTGCTCCAACAGGCCTGTTTGCAGTCAAAGTCCCGGGTGGCTCATTTGGCGCTGAGCCAGGAGAGGACAACCTAGAACCGGCTCATGCTCCTGTAGACTGGACCAGAACTCAGGTTCCCAGGAGCCCCTGCAGTGGACTTAGCTACAGCCCTGTTACAACTATGTCTGAGCAGCCCGTATGGGTTTCTAAGGACGCGGCTGTCTATGGAGATAGGCAGGTGCTGTGCGCGGAGTTCTGTGCAGACTGTTAGAAGAGATGCACCCTTTGCGCTCTCTTCGAGGCTTTACCTTCGCGCCTCTTCTCGCTCCAAGTTATTACTTGTATTGCCATAGCCTCTAGCAGCCTCAGTCGTGGACCAGGACCGCCGGTGCTTGGCGCTGTACAAACCCACCCCGGACAGACAGTCCCTGCCCCAAAGATCTAAAGCAAAGGGCCCTTCACACTGGGGATGCTGGTGCGCTATTGTGGATGGTGAGCACATGCTAAATGGTGTTGATGATGCTTCCCCAGGTCTGGCGATTTCACCCTGCAAGGGATCACCCCTCCCGCGGACAGCAGCTCTTCTAGGGAATTTCAGCCCCACCCAGGCCAGAAAGGGGAGGGGGAAAAGATTTGCTCCCCCGAGAACCTCCAGTAAGAAAAATGCTTTGGCTCGTGACTCTGGAGGCTGCCTCCTCCAACCCCCGTCCCTTCTCTGCTTCCCTCACACTACTCCTCCCATGAACTCCAGGGGCCTGACCAGCTCCCCACACCCCAGCTGGAGGATACAACCAGCCCTGCAGATTTCAGTGGCAATGACGCGGGATCCTGCATTGGAGTGGGAAACGGGTCCCAGGTCTCCTCCGCCGCAATCAGAAACCGGTTTCCCCTCGAGCTTTCCACTGCCCCCAGCAGGCCATTTAGTGCAGCGGCCTCTCCACAAACCCGGCAGGAAAGTAGGTTGGTTACACCCTCCATACAGTGCCTTGCCTCCCCGTTCCTCCCCCTCCCACTCCATTCCCCCTATTCCCCGCCCCCGCATCCCGCTGTGTCTTTCCCCAGCTGGGGTCAGCCGTACCCTGCCTTTCTAAGGCCAGGGCTTTATGGCCATTAGGGGCAGGGTCTCCTAGATGGTCCGTCATCCCTTGTGGCCTGAACGTCTACCCTGACCTGATGCAGGGCCCCTGGCCCAAAGAGACCCTCCCACCCAGGCTCTCACCAGCTGGGGGCGCTGTGCCTCCGAGTTCCGCTTCTCACCTGGCACTGAGTCAAAGCCTTTGAGTGGCTCCTAATGCCTCCCTTGGAATGGCTGAGCAGATCACAGGACACCTGGGTCCTATCCCCAGCTCTGCCCCAGCTCACTGTGTGGCCCTTGTGCAAATTCCTTCCCCTCTCCAAAAAGGGGGATAATGCGGCTGAGCCAGCGTGGGGAATTTCCAGGTGGAAATCCAAAGCAAGGGGAGGTGCTCACAGTTGCTGCTTTCATGGTAGACAACAGAAGGAGCTGTTTGAGTACAGGGCTGGGAGCCAGGACTCCTGGCTTCGCTTCCTGTCTCTGCCACTCACTGATCCAGGTCGAGCCAACAAGATGCCACAGTTTCCCCATCCGTAGAATGGAGATAAGAAAGTCAGCCTCTCTTAGGGGTGTGGTTGGGAGACATAGTTACTGTCTGTAAAGAGCATTGTAACAACACCTGCCCAAATGAATCATGATCTGGGTTTGAACCCAGAATCTGCCCGACAGGCATCTAGTACATGAGCTACAGTAGCAGTTCCATTAGCCGGCAGCAGTAACAGGCTGTTATCCTCTAGGGTGGATCAGTCACTAGAAGAAGCTGCAGCACACACTTCACAAGTGTGTTAGATTTGAATCTAGGGGGTTGTGAAGATAGATACTTTAAAGACTGTGCGGCACCCCGGCACTGTGGTGACGGGGGCCATTACAAAGCACCTTAGACAGAAGCCCGTTATAACCCTCTCTGTGGGCTGAATCCATGCATCTCTTGGGAGTGCCTGGCGTGATTCTTTGACACCCACAGATGGGGCCTAGCGAATTGCAGCATTAAAAGGCAGAAGGGAGAGGAGGAGAAGCCAAGAATCTGTCGGGGGCGGAGGGAGGTAGCCGGGAGGCGAAGGGACAGCTTGAGCGGCTGCATCCGTGTGGGGATGCAGGGATGTGATGTGGCACCAGCATTATGGAGCTGCTGCTCCAGGAGAGGAAAAAAATAAGACAAGCAAATGGGTTTGTTATTCGTCTTCTTTGGAAGAGCCAGCACCACCTGTCCCCTCCATCTGCCGCTCACGTGAGCAGCCAGGGCCTCTGTGGAGAGAGGGGATGGCCCCACCGCCACTGAGGTCTGTCGCACTGACATCTTTGCTTTGTAATCTACAGATCAGAGCATTCCCCCCGCAGCTGAGACCCATCCACCTCTGGATGGTAGCAACTAACAGCACACGACAATACCACCCGGGCAGCTCACTCAGCACTGGAGGGCAACTGCCTCTGGGACACAAGGTGGCAGCTGTTTACCTGGGTGTGCCAAGATTGGAATGCAGCCACTTCTGGGGTGGCACACAGCAGCTGTTTAACAGCCACCCTGCACAACAGTCGGGGCCAGGAAGCCAAGGAGACTCTCGTAACTTATTGGCACAGCAGGGTGGCATGCCGGAGGCAGACTGGAGTTACCCAGGTTAGAATTTGCACCCAACCCCAGTACTGACACCTCAGCGTAGGCAAAAGGTGCAGCGTGGCCTTTCATACCACAGCACCCCCTAACGCCCTGGTGTGCCAAAAAGGATTTCTCAAACATCTCTCCCCACACATCCCAGCAGCCCTACCTGCACCATGCAAAAAACCCACTGCTAGCAAGCTAGTAGGAAAGACCAATTGTTCTGTTTCTGTGGGCGGGGCTGGGCATTCTGGGCGGAGCTATATCTCATCACATCATCACATTCTCCTATAAAAGGGAGACTCGAGGCCATGTCTACATGGCACACCAAGCCCAGGTTCTGACTCAGGTCTGAACCCCCAGCCCCCTTTCTGTCCACACACAAATCAGTCTGACTCACATCAGCAAGCACTCAGGACCTGGGTCCTAGAACCTTGGCAGGGTAGGGGGGTGGCTCAGAGCCTGAGGGCCAAGCCCTGCGGTGTGGGCTCAGCTCAAGTCATAGACCTGGTCTGCACCACGCAAAATGGACGTGTTAGCACAGTTGTGGGACCCGGATTTCCAAGGCAGTGTGGATGCTCCAACACCGAGTGCACAAGCCTAGCTCCCATGCAGACCCAGGTTTGCAATGCAGCACAGGGCTAGGCCCAGACCTCCTAATAGGGGTTACCCAGCGTTCCCAAGCCCAGCAAATGGTAACAGCAGCTGTTCAAGCTGATGGACACAGTCCCCTGACATGTAGGAGGGAATACACCCTTCAGTGGCCTAATGGATCAGGCACTAGAGTGGACTCTGGAGAGCTAGGTTGTAAGTCTCGCTCTGTCACTGATCTGGTGTGTGAATCATTGAGCCTCTGTTTCCTCTCCCTCTTTGGACTGTAAGCTCTTTGGAACAGGGACTGTCTCTCTGTGCACAACTGTGCCCTGATCTCAGCTGGGACATTGCTACAATGCAAACGATTGTAAGCCACCAGGTGCATACTGAGCTCCAGGAGACAAAGCATCCTCACAGATCACTGCAAGGGGGTGAGGTTTCACTGCAGTGCAAGGATACAATAGAAATAATCATACAAAGGTTGCATCACGCTTTCTCTTGCCATAATGCTCTGAGGACCCTGCTGTACCAACTGCAGGATGAACACAAGACTCCTGTCCTAGAGAGCTTTCTCCCACGTTGCAGTGGGAGTTCATGCACACAGAGTATAAATGCAGTGGGGGGTAGGTGGGGGTGTCTGTGGCCTTGCACGGAACGAGAGCTGTGTGGGGAAGAGTTTTCCTGTCCTCCAAGAATTTGAAATTTCCTCCATCCTGAATCAGATGGAAAAGTTGACATCGCAAAGTTTGAGGAGCTAAAAATGCAACTAGGTCAATCAAAATGTTTGGAGAGGGACGATGGGGAACCAGCAGAGACCCCCCCCCCCCGCCCCCACCAGCTCCCCACCCCTTAGCCCTTGAAGCAAAAAGTCATTTTGCCCTACAAAAATGCAACTTTTTTCAGTTCAAAACTATGTGAAATGGGACACTGACCATTTGGAAAGGTTCCCCTCCCCAAAAAATCCAAGTTTATGAAATGAGAAATTCATCAAAACTGACCCTTTCCCTCCAAACACTTTTGGCTTTGACGAATCGGTGTTTTCCTACAGAAAACCATTTCACCGAAGGATTCCTGCCCAGCTCTGTGCTGAGCCCTGTGCGGCTTCTCACGGCACAGTGCCACGTTTCTGACAGTGGAGGGCAGCAAGAAGCCACCCAAAATCCACACACCAAGAGCTCCAGCTGGCTAGAGTGAAACTGCGGCCATGCATTGGGGCTCAGGGCAGGCTGGATAGGACCCTGGAGATAGCCGCTCTGGGCCCCTTGCTCCGCCCCAGCCCCCAACGTTGGCTGTTGTAGAGGTTGTTTATTATGGGCATCAGACCCATCCCGCAAGCAATGTTTGGAGCAAGGAGCTCGTCCCAGTCCGGATCTTTCCAACGTGGGAGAGAGGCCGACACCCCCCCTTCCGCCCTGCTGCATAGCAATGGGCGGCAGGATTCAGAGGGGCGGGAGAGCAGGCTCCCCCCAAAACCAGAGGCAGTCACAGCCAGATGCACGGTGTGTACCACGCCATCAGCACTGAGCCCCCTCCAGCAGAAGTGACCTGGTGCATGGGGGCTGCCGAGCCGCTCAGGTTTGGCCCCAAAACCCTGCCCTCCAAGTCCGCATGGTGCTGCAACCGCCCATGCACCGGCTCACGAGGCCACTCAGGTTTGGCCCTGGACCCCCCTCTAGTCATGACAGCGGGGCCACGAGGCTAAACCTCCTGGCCTCTGCCATGGGGCCAGCTCCTGCATCGGGGCTGCCCCCCTCCACTTCCAGCAGCCCTTGTCCCCTCTGCTCTGCCCACAGGCCTGGCTTAGCCACAGCCTCATGAGCTGCATGGGGGAGCTGGCCAGGACAGGGGCGGCGGGGAGCCCAGGGCAGCACCCTGTGAAAAATCTCTGGGGTCCTCCCTGGACCAAAGAGCCACAAACTTTGTGCCGTGCACCCCGATCAGATCTTTGGAGCTAGGCCTGAGGGGAGAGCGCCAGTCCCCAAAGCCCACAGCATTGGGATGGATCCAGACATTGCAGCCTGAGCCCATCTTAGTGGCTTCTCACCTCCTCCGGAGCTTCCCGGGCCTACTCCGCTCCTTCGCCCCCATGCCCATCCCCAGCTTTAGGCCAGGTTCTTGGGGGATCTGCTCAGGCCTGCCCCTAAAAGCTCCCTCCCGCCTCTATCGCGCACACATCCACCACTCAGCACTGGGACCCCCAAGTCCCATTGAGGCTCCAAACTCGCCATGTCCTGCCACTCTCCCTGCTGGGCCCAGAGTTCTTGTGAGTTGGCAGCATGAAGGCAGTTGGACATCGGTGAGGGTGGCACACGCTGGAGGCTCCCAGGGAAGGGGACGGAGAGCGGAGCCCGTGAGGAGAAGGGTGAGAGGTGCAGAAAGGTGCTGCTAACCGCTGATGAGTCAGCCAGGTCCCAGAAAGCTTCTGAACCCAGAGGCCCCATCTGCCCTTCTGCAGCTGCTCCTGGGGTCAGCTCTTGATCACGTGGCCAGCTGCAGAGCATAGTTCATCTTTGCAGGAGATGCCGCAGCCTCAACTCCCTCCCTGTCTAGGCAAGAGGTAGCTTGTGTTAGTCTGTCTAGAGACTGCTACTAGAGAGACTCAGCGTCTCCTCCCTCCCTGCCTCTGCCTTGTATATTCAGCTTGCGAGTTCTTCAGAGAGCCGCTGTGCATACACGTAGTACGAGACAGTCCCTGCCCCAAAGCCCTTACAATCTAAATAGCCAGAGAGAGGAAGGGGAAGCAAAGGCCCAGAAAAGGGGTGTGGGAATAGAACCCAGGCACCTGAGTCCCTATCCATTAGGCAACACTGCCTCCCAGAGTGCTGGTTTGATGGCTGAAAAGGGAATGATCCCAGTGTCACCGAGAAGGCTGCTGGGAAAAATGTTACTCAAACTTTGTTGTTTTAAGCCTTCTATTTTATTAGGCAAGTGAAAGACGATCCCCAGCAACATTCCAGATCATCTAAACCCACACCCATCGCAGCATAAAAGAGAGAGGAACACAATCCAGCTTGTAGGTCACTGACAGCTTCAAAGCACCAGCAGGTGAGCACTGAGCTGGCGCACCTGAGTGGAATCACACAGGCTCCCAATCTAAACAAATGGAAACCGCTGAGCAGCAGGCCTTTGTCGAACCCAAATGAGAGAAGGGCCCTGACGTGTCAGTTTCACGGCTCTATTACTGGTATTATGGTAGCAGCTTTAGGCCTCAGGTTAGGTCAGGAACCCCTTATGCCAGATACTCTACGCACATAATGAGAGTTTCCTCAGGCCTTGAAGAGCCCAGTCCATCTAAGTAGCCAAGACCAACCAAGGGAGTAACAGGATTCCCATTTTATAGATGGAGAAACTGAGGCACAGAAAGATACGACTTCCCCAAGGCCACCAGGAAAACCACAGCAGAGCCAAGAAAGGAGTCGAGAGCTGCATTCCAGTAACCACAAAAAGTCACTCCCCTTCTCTTGTAGACTCCCCACCCGCATGGCCCCTGGAGGGGCTTTGTGACATAGCAAAATGTCCTCATCTGGCACCCCACTGCTGGTAGATGCTCAGGCCCTGTGGGGCTTCACTTCTACTCAGCCCTCCGGCCAGGTCACTTACAGTCCCCCCTGCAACTCCCGGAGGTAACAGAGAGTCTGACAAACCAGAGTCCAGTGTCCTTACATCAGGTCTCCAGCCCTGGGTCGGGCCCTGTGGTTCTTACATCCTGTGGTCCTAGGGCTTTCAAGAGTCCTTAGACCCTTATGCCAGGGGGCTTTGCACCCCCTTTCCTGAGAGCTGGGAGGAGAAGCCAGACCCCTCCACTCCTCTGGGTTCCAGCCCAGGGAAATGGCAGCAAGCAGGCAAGGTGCAACCCAGTTCAGGAACTGAGATCTCCAGCCTCCCCTCCCCCCTCACACCCATCACACTCTCATAACAGCTGTGAAACTCACCAGAGTCTGGTCAATTTCCCTTGCCACAGGGGTGGGAAGCTGCCTGCCTGCAGACTCAGGCAGAGGGCACTCCACTGGCTCACATCTGGAAAGTTTTCTTTACAAACATAAGGGCTAGACGTGTAATTTTTTTTTTAAAAGATGAGATTCTGCCTAACTAGATGGGCCTCTCTGATCCCAATGGAAAACTTCCCACTCCCTGGGAGCTTACAGGCAAAAAGATTTTTCAAGCCCCTGATATTCAGTGCCTTTAGTTTGGGCTTCTATAGTTTCGGGGGGGGAGGAGAGAAGAGGGTAAAAAAAATGCAAGAAGGAAAAGTGAACAGAACTGTCTGGACAATGAGAGAAGGCTGGGCTTGAGTTTGGGAAGGCCTGGGGGAGCTTTGAGTTTGATCAGGCTGGACGGCTCAGCAACAGGGGAAGAGCGTGTTTGTCCCCAGGCCGGATGGGAATGGCGGGTCCCATTAATGATATAGCCCCCAGCTGTGGGGGGCTTATGCAGAAGTACCCAAGGACAGACACAGACTTTTGGTTAGTCTCTAAGGTGCCACAAGTACTCCTTTTCTTTTTGCGAATACAGACTAACAGGGCTGTTACTCTGAAACCAGACTTTACTCCTGTCTCCCTGTGTCTCTGCAGAGGTGTTAATGGGCCACTCTACCCTTATGCTAAACACCTTGCTGGGGGAGGGCACCTTTCCCAGCCCCGAAGAAGAGCTCTGTGTGGCTCCAAAGCTTCTCTCTCCCCCCACCAGAAGTTGGTCCAATAAAAGACAGAGTAGCTCCCTGCTCTCCTTGTCTGTGTGTGTCCTGGGCACTCACAGCCAAAATGAAATGAGGGCAAAGGGGCATCCTGTCCCTTTAAAAACACAGAGCAGGGGAGGGGCTGGCTGAGCTAAGATGAAAGTCTGACATCGCCCCCCCCCATCTCCTCTTCTTCCCACCCCTCAGTGCAGAATTCCCTAACCCCCATGTCCAGGATTCCCCCCCACACACACACACACTTCCCCTCTGTTAAGAATCCCCCCAACACACATCCAGGATCCCCTCCCCCACCCCATCAAAGACTCCCCCCCCATCAAGGATCCCCCTTGCTGATTCAAAGATTCCCCCCATCCGCCCAGGATCCCCCACCTGCAGGATTAACCCCTCTTCTCAAAGATCCCACCTCTGCATCAGGGATCCCACTCCCTGCCCAAGTTCTGCCCACCCCATCCCATTTGCAGGATTCCCCCTCCCTTTAGGATCCCCCCCAATCCAGGATCTTCCCTCCCGCTGCAACATCTTCTGTCTCTGTCCAGACTCTGCCCCTTGTTCAAACAACTCCCCCCATGTCAAGAATTCCCCCCCCCCGACCAGCATTCCCCCCCAAAAAGTCAGTTATCCTCTGTCCCTGTCCAGAATCTGCCCCCCATGTCAAAAATACCCCCCCACACACACACTTCTATGATCCCCTACCCCATGTCAAGAATTTCCTGCCCATATCCTGGATTCTCCCCCAAGTCAATCACCCTCTGACTCTGCCCAGAATCTCCCCCCAATGTCAAAAATAAGCCCCACCTCTATGATCTCCTCCCCCATGTCAAAAACTCCCTCCCCATGTCCAGGACCCCCTCAAGTCAATCACCCTCTGCCTCTGCCCAGAATCTGCCCCCCATGGAAAAAATACCCCCACACCTATGATCCCCTCCCCCATGTCCAGGATCCCCCCACCCCAGTCCATTACCCTCTGTGCCTCTGCCCAGAATCTGCCCCCATGTAAAAAATACCCCCACACCTATGATCCCCTCCCCATGTCAAAAACTCCCTCCCCATGTCCAGGACCCCCCCCCCAAGTCAATCACCCTCTGCCTCTGCCCCCCATGTCAAAAAATACCCCCACACTTCTATGATCCCCTCCCCCATGTCCAGGACCCCCCACCCCAGTCCATCACCCTCTGCCTCCGTCCACAATCCCACCCCCAACTTGGCCCAAGTTGCTGGGTGGGTTGTTCTGAGAGCCCCCCACCCCCCGCCCCCCAGGCCCGGCCAGCTCCTCGGCCCCCTCCCCCGCTCGCTCCCAGTGGCTCCTTCCCCGTCTCGCTCCATCCCCTCGCTGCAGCCAGCCCCGCCGCTCCGGAGCGCCAGCCAGCGCGGGTGCGAGCGAGCCCGGAGCGAGCCAGCCGGAGGGGCCCCTTGCGCCGGAGCCGTGGAAATGGTTTGGCGGCGGCGCTGAAGCCGGGCAGGGCGCGGAGAAGGCGAGAGACCCCCCCCCCCCCCGCCCGCCCGCCGGACCCCCCGATTCCCCCCCCTGCCCCCCAGCGCCCGGGCCAAAGGCAGGAGCATGCGGAATCTGCGGCTCTTTCTGCTCTGGGTTGTGATTCTGGCTGACACTCAGTGCCAAGGTAAGGGGGGGGCTCCGCGCCCCCCACCTCTTTTGTGTCCGCGCGGGGGGTTGGGGGGGAGCGAGTTTGCAAGTTGTTCGTGGGAGGATGGGCGAGGGCAGAAGGAGCGGGGGCAGGGGGCGATAGGGAAAGATTCCCCCCCAACCCCACTAACCCCCCCCCCATTCCTTCTGCAAACGCAGCTAGCGGGGCCTGATCCTGGTGTAACTTGAGTGGCTTCGCTGGAATGGCTCCTGATTGTTTCCCCCCCACACTCCGGGGGGGGGGGGAGGTCGGTAGCTCCCCCCCCCGCCCCGCTTCTTTCATGGGAAATCGAGGGGGAATTGCATCTTGGATCCAAAGCTGGGGGGAAGGGGGAGCCGCTTCCAGTCCTGCCCCCCCCCCCGGTATAACCCTGGTGGGTAGCCTTGTTTTGCTGCTGCCCTATATTTATGTATTTGTGTTGCCCAGAGAAAAGTTTTGTGGCAAAAAGAACGGGGGGGGGGGCGCCCGGAAGGCTGAAGGGGGGAAAGTGAAGGAAGAAAGGGAGGAATGGCAGAAAGGAGAAGTCGCGCGGATGCCAAGGAAGGGGGAGGAGAGAGCGGGACAGGGGAATGTGGGGGGAAGGGCAGGGGAGAGGCTGCGATTTCAAGTTATAAAGGGGGTGGCGCGCGCGGGGGGGGGGGGTCCGAGCCCTGTTTGTGCAAGTTCTGCGGGGTGCCGGGCGGGCGCTGCTTCCCCGGGAATCCCCCCCGCACGCGCTGGGGAGCGGCGACCAGGCCGAACCGCTGGCTGGGGAACATCTGGGGCTCTCCTGCTGGAAGGAGCATTCCAGGGAAGGGAGAGCTCGTGTCTGGGGAGTTGGCGTTAAATCCTGCTCTTTGCCCACTTGGGGGGAGCCAGCGGTGGTTTGCGGGGGGACTAGCTGGATTGGAGTCCCGCGTGCCCCCGCCCCGATCCGGATGGGGACCCTTCCTGGGCTGCCTTGTGCTGATAAGGCTGCTGGGGGTTCTTTATCTAGCTGGTCGCAGGGACCTGTAGAGCTAGAAGATTCAGGCCTGGTCCTTCCTTGCAGACAGTGGAGGGGCCCCGGGCTCCCACTGGAAAGTAAGAAATCCAAGCCCTGCCAGGGTGGGTGGGGGGCGGCGGGCCCTGGACCATGCCCCCTGTTCTGATCTTGCCCAGAAGGCATTATTGCTGTTTGTCGAGTGGTCCCACCCAGAGGCAGGAGAGACGGTCCCTGCCCGAAGCGCTCACAGTCCGAATAGAGCAAGACCCTTAGGCCCATTTACAGAGGGAGCAAACTGAGGCCTAGAGAGACTTGCCCAAGGGCCAGAAGGCAGGCAGTGACTGAGCTCTGCTTTCCCCAAGTTCCAGGCTAGTCGCTTAAAGGCAAAGCTGGCCAGGCTGCCTCCTTCCTTGCTGCTGGCTGCTTGGCGGGCCCATGGGGCAAATGAGTTGGCTGGTTCTGGGGGTCTGTGTTGCGGGTACACCACCTCTTCTTGGGGTGAAATAGCCTTCACCGAAGGGGGCATGGGAGCCTGAACTCCAGTGCGGGGCTGGAGGGGTTCCCCCCACCAGGGGACGGAGTGCCTGGAGGGGCCAGTTTGCAAAGGACCCTTGCCCTGCCAGCATCCCTGTGCTCTGGATACTGAGGCCTCCAGTGCTTGCAGGTCCCTACTGCTACAGCTTTCATTTAAAGGGGGGGTGGGTTGTGGGGGAGCGTTGCTAAGACGCTGGGAAGAAAATGAGACAAACAGGGGTTTAAAGGGGGAAAAAAGCCTCTTACACTGAAAGATCGAGGGGGGGGGGAGGGCAGGGCAGGATAAATACATCTCATCCTCCACCCCTTCTTGCAAGACTCCGAGAACCACCATGGGTCTTTACTTAAATCGAAGGAACAAAAGCTACAGTTCCCCCGCCCCCCAAACTGTGACATGTGGATTTAATTGGAGGGAAGGTGGTGTTGGGGTGGGGGCAGGTGTTTGCAGGAGAGAGAGAGAGTGAGCAGAAATATTTCCCTTTCTATAAAGCTAACTCTTGGAAACCAGCGTGAGGGGGGCAAATGGGCTGAATCTGATTTACTCCTGCAGAGGATTTGATCCAGAGGGTGGCTTAAATCCCTGCTTGGGGAAGAATCCCCCTCCAGGAGGTGAACGGCTAAGCAGGGCTGGTGATTTAGGAAGCAGGATTCTGGGAAAGAGGAGGCTTGGGGATCTGTTTTGATTCCCTTTCGAATAAACACTCCTCTGCCCCCCCATTACCATTTTTCCCTTTGTTCCCCACTGCTCTGCATGACACCAGGGGAGCACCTGTGTTATTTTTCCAGGGTTTGTGGGGTGTGCATGGGGATTCTTGTAAGTTTCTTTCTCTTGCCCACTCCCTCCTCCTTCGGAAGCTGTTTGGATGGGTTGGTCTGGGGCAGGAGGGGTTTTCCTTCAGGGTTGTTATCAGGGAGAAACAGAGCAGGGATTGGGGGTTGAAGAGTGGTTGGGAAAACTGTGATCCCCCTCCCCGAAGGAGATATATATAAATGAGCTTGATAGATGGAGAAAGGGGGTGGGGGGAAACATGTTGGAGTATTGGGGCAGGCAGGAGGGGGGGATCTGTGCCATTCATGTGGTTTGAGCTCACACACACACATACAGACACACAAAGATGTTGAATGGGTTTCATCATTCTTCATTTCTCACTAAATAATTTTCTGTATCTTATCTAAATGAAACCCATTATTCTTCCCCCCATTTCAATCACTCGCTGTGATTGTGCCTCAAATTGAAATATTTATTCATTTTCCGGGTGATTCTTTATCCCTTTCTCTCTGTGTGGGATTTTCCCCCCCTCTTTCCCTTCCTTTCAGGGAAGAGCAGCAAAATTGCAACAGCAAAAACTACAGCTAATCAGGAGAAGTGTGTGCTTCGGGAGGTGGGGGGTGTCAACCCGTGGGGGGTGGGAAGTGGCTAGGGTACTGTTTTGTAAGGAGGGGGTTTATGGGGAGGTAGAGGGTGGGAGTGTTCTTCATACTGCCTGGAAATATCGGGGGGGGGGGGGAATGTGCTTCCCAAATCCCTCCCCCTAACAGAAACACACACATAAAATGCTTTGATCCTGCACCTCAGAAGGCAGCTAGACAGAAGGAAGAGGGAGTCCTGACACCGGATGGCTCGCTCCATGCAACAGGGTGAGCTATAGTAAACTGGTCACAGATCCCTTGTCATGTGTCGCCACTCAGGCACTTCACATCTTGCAACCCAGTGTGGGGGGGGGGAGTCAGGACTCCTGGGTTCTATCCCTAGCTCTGGGAAGGGAGTGGTCTAGTGGGTAGTGCAGGGTGGTCTAGGTGTCAGGACTCCTGGGTCCCTTTTCTGCTTTGCTATGTGTCTGTCTGGCCTGCTTTCCTTGCATTTGTCGGGCGGCCTCCCCCTGTTTCTGGGCCATCTGTGGAACGGTGATAAACCCACCTCAGAGCGGCTGTGAGGTCTTAGTTAAGGTTTGTGATCCCCTGCCAGAGACACCTGAGAAGGGAAAGGTTACAAAGAGGTCACACCCCCATTCAGCGTAGCGTTTGCCTTCTCCTCCAGCCCCAATGAACAGACGTGTTCCTGTGCCTTTAATCCCCATCCCATCCTTCATGACCCCAGACCTGGCTTCCCATAGCGAGGACCAGGGAGCCATCACTGGCCTCAATTAGGACAGAATCGCTAGGACTGGAACATACCAGGATAGATCCTTGGCCACCGATAGTGAGTGAGTGAGTGAGTGAGAGAGAGAGAGAGAGAGAGAGAGAAAGAAAGAAAGAAAGATGAATAAATTCTATTTATCTCGTTATTTATTCAGCTAACTCTTTTAATCAGCTAGTGAGTACATTACAGGTGAATAATATTTTCAATATTCAGTCCGTATAGATAGATAGATAGATAGATAGATAGATAGATAGATAGATAGATAGACGGGGTGTATGGAGATAGAGGGTTGTATAGAGGGACAGATAGGTAGATAGATAGATAGATAGATAGATAGATTAGATACACATGTGTGGGGGTGGATGGCTGGATGGTTAGAAGTGGGGTATCTATGGGGTAGTGTGTATTGTGATGGATGGAGGGGGATGGTTGACTGGCTGGCTGGATAAATGGAGGGGTGTTCCTAGGAATGGATAGTTAAAGGGGTATATATGGGGGTGGATCAGATATTACAGTGCTGAGGGCAATATAAGAATCTATATATGTTGGTAGATAGAGGGGCATTTATGGGGATGGATGGACAGAGGGGTGGGGGTGAGGATGGATGGATGGATGGATGGATGGACGGACAGGGGGTGGGGGTGCAGATGGATGGATGGATGGATGGACAGAGGGGTGTGGGTGCGTATGGAGGATGGATGGACATAGGGTGGGGGTGAGGCTGGACGGACAGACAGTGGGACAGATGTGCGGATAGATCATCTCCCCCCGGAGAAGCAGCCAAGGAGCTGGCAGGACTTGCTTTCCAGACCTGTGCAGACTCCATGCCTGCAGAGAGCTCGGGCAGGTCTCGGTCTCAGCCCCGCGTGTGCATGGCTGCTGCATTGCCGGCTCCCTTCCCCCCATGCCGGACGCCCCCGGCGAGCGGCAGGTAAATATTGTGAGCGATGCACGGGCAGTAATAGTGGTTTGACTGCAGATTGATGAATGCTGTGTAAAAACTCGGCACCCAGCAGCCCCCCTCACTCACCCACGCATGCCGGCTGCTGCCTGCTCTGTGCCACTTCTCTGCCAGCCGCCCTGGCCCCCAGGGGCCTCACAAAGCCTGGCCTGCCGGCCCGACGGGGCAGCTGGGGGGAGCAGCCAGCATCGCAGCTCGGCCAAGGCATCGGGAGGTCAGGGGGGTTTATAGGGCAAACTCTGTGCTGGGGCAAGTGGCTTCCCTTACCCAGGGTGGGAGCCAGCACAGGGTAGAGGGGGGAGAGCCCCACCCCACCCTGACGGTCGAAGTCTTTAGGGACTGGAGGAATACAATGCGGCGGCGGGGTCGGGGGGGAA